CTATTGTGGATTAATGGAAGAGCTTTTTGAGGGGATTAATAGAACAAAGGATCCGTCACGGTGGATGACTTTCGAATCGAGGAAATCATCTTTTGCACTGATGGAGGACTGGTGTGGTTATTCGCCCAACCAGACCCAAATACGACAGCGCGAGGACAGCATGCGGCAATCAATGATTGATCAACAGACACTAGGTGAGAGAGGCACCGTGACTGCTGCCATGGAGATTGAGAAACGGAATCTTCGAACCGCGGCCCTGAGTGCAATGGCCGCCCTCTGCGGTGGTCCAATTAGCATTACTACGGAGAGCAGAGCAAACCTACAATTTGACATCAGGCGAATGCTCTCCTGGATAGATACCATCTTCAATTCTGGAAGCGACCGGATGCATGTCATTGGGAGAAGAGCTTTGAAGAATCTCATTGTGCACAACAAGGATTTCCCATACCTTTTGGAGCATTCAATCACGAGATGCTACAGTGCCGAGGTGCCGAAAGTCCTAGAAAGCTATTTTGAAGTAATCACTCAGGTCCTTCTCGAACACCCGAACTACCCAATGCCTTTTTGGAGACTTCTGGGGATAGGGCTCTATACTCTGGGCAGCGAATTGAGTCCGATCCGTTCGAAGTCAGCCCATGTGTTGCGAGCGCTCGAGGAACGACAGCAGAGAAGCTCCAAGATACAAGACTACGATATTAGTATCTCTGATAAGACGAAAGCAGTGTACAAGCTTGCACAGTTCGAGATCTCAAAGCGTCTCTCACAGACACATTCGGAGCTGGCCTTTCTCATCTTTTCAGAATTTACTGCCTACTTTAAAGACCTGCAATCAAATTCCCAACGAAATATGGTGGCCGCGATATTGCCATGGATTCAGATCATTGAGCTACAGCTTGATCCAAACGGTGGGCCGACGGCTCAGTCTTATGTACTCCTCGCCAATCTTTTCGAGATCACCATCAAGTCGAGCAGTGCTTTGCATAACGAAGTTCAGGCCATGTGGCAAGCACTTGCTACTGGCCCGCACGCTGGAAATGTTCAGCTCGTTCTTGACTTTATCATGTCACTATGCCTCGACCGCCGCGAGCAGAACTTTGTCGAATATGCAAAGCAGATTGTTGTCTTCCTGTCCAGCACCCCAGCAGGTGTCAAAGTCGTCGAGTTCCTCCTGATGCAGATCACACCCAAAGCTATGATACCGAATGAGAAACGCGAGCTCATTCCACCTCCTCCGGATACTGTTAAATTACCCTACCTCGCAGACCTTTCCGAAGCTTTACCAATTGGAGCAAAACAAGCCGGATTTTCGCTCGGTCAATTATCTCTGATTCTTTTGGTCGATTTAATGGTCTCTCCGGTACAGCTCGTAGCCGAGAATGTCCCTCTGCTTTTACAAGTAGTTACTGTCTTGTGGGATCATTACATCCCCCTCGTTCAAGAACAAGCGCGAGAAATGCTCATTCACATGATTCATGAATTAGTCATATCCAAGATCGATGATGAAGAGGCATTGCCAATGAAAAAATCCATCGAAGATTTCATCGAGTCTATCCGTCGACATGATTCCACCGTCGTTTGGGCATATGAAGACTACAACGGAAAGGTCGATGATCAGGACAATAAAGTCCCGCCGGGAATGGAAGTGCTCAGTACCGAGGTCGTCAAGTATTTTGAGATCACTTACCCGGGCATTCAAGAACAGTGGGCAAAGCTGTCTTTGACTTGGGCAACTTCATGCCCCGTCAGACATCTTGCCTGCCGATCGTTCCAGATCTTTAGATGCATTCTGACTTCGCTGGATCAGCCTATGCTTGCAGATATGTTGGCAAGATTGTCCAATACTATCGCTGATGAGGATTCTGATGTTCAGACGTTTTCGATGGAGATTCTGACTACCCTCAAGACTTTGATCTGCAAACTGGAGCCAGCTGATCTCATCACATTTCCACAACTGTTTTGGACTACATGCGCATGTCTGGATACAATCAACGAACGGGAGTTTTTGGAGGCACTTGGAATGCTGGAAGAGCTCCTGGTGAAGCTTGATTTGAATGATTCGTGTGTGAGAAAGCTCCTAGCTGAAGGACGCCCGCCGAGATGGGAAGGCGTTTTCGAAGGTCTCCAGCCCCTGGTCCATAAAGGGATACGCTCTTCTGTATGCCTCGACCTGACATTGAAGATCATGGACCGACTTGTCCAGCTTCCAAATGATGATTTGATCGGAGACGACAGCCGCCTACTGTTTGCCGTTCTTGCCAACTTTCCAAAATTTCTCCATGCCATGGACCAGGACAAAATCGACCCGGAAAGTGTAAAGAGCGCGGAAATCCTAGCTCAGATCGCTGAATTGCAAGGATGCAGTACAATTTCGAGAGCCTTGATCGGGTTTGCAGCCGGGCGTTACCGTGCAAGCAAAGATTTCCTTGCCCAGTTAGTATCGGCGCTTCGAGAGAACTTCTTCCCTGAATGGGACTTTGGAAGTCTGACGTTCCTTATGGGTCTATTGACGAACAGCGTCCCATGGTTTAAGGTCAAAACCATGCGAATTCTCTGTGCTGTCATTCCGGATATCGACATGCGGAAGCCTGAGATTGCTTCACATGGTCCTGATTTGATTTCGCCACTTCTGAGGCTCCTGCAGACCGAGTTTTGTATGCAAGCTTTAGAAGTGTTAGATCACATCATGACGATGACAGGAACTTCGATGGATAAGCATCACTTGCGTATGAGCATGACCAGATCCTCATCGAAGGCAATTCGAAAGGAGTATGAGCGCACACAAAGCTTGTTCGGCATCCCAGAAGAATCAGGATGGTCCATCCCCGTTCCCGCGATGCACGCAGAGACAACCCGCTCCAACGTCCACGCAGCATTCTATATGTGCCAAAGCGCAGAGAACATGGGCCCCGAAACGGCCCCGACCCCCGAGGTCGAATTCCACGTCGACGACTTCCAGTACGGCTACTTCCCTGCTCCTGAAAGAACCGAGACAATGATGTCGGATGAAGCCCGCGGTGACGGCAACATAGGCGATCTAGTAATGAAGCTCGACAGCCTGGACGACTTCTTCGAAGATAGTTTGCAAAGCCCCACCTCTGATGGACGCTCATCGCGCACTATCACTGAAGTCGGGTTCTCAGGCGACGGCTTCGAATCCGGTGCACAGCTCTACGACGAGCAGACATTACCTATTCTTCACCAATCACTTGCACGAACGGCAAGCAGCGCCTCATTCCAGAATGGCTTCGCGGACATGAGGCCTGCAAACAGTAGAGCGAACAGTCGAGACGGTCCCACATTGAATGCGATGAATCCAGGCGCTTTTCAGCTCCCACCTACCTCAAACCCAAGACCGACTCTCCATTCCCGTTCTGTGACTTCACCTTCTGCTCCGGCTTCATTCCAAAGCAATGTCACGACGTACATGTCTGATGAAGACTACATCGAGGAAGTGTTCAGCGATGCCGATGAGGAGCGAGCAACAGGTAATGGACCGGGAGAAGGCAGTTTCTTCCTGGAGAACATGATTAAACCTCTCGCACATGGGACGAGGTCGGGAATGCGGAGGTTAACTGGTGGGAGGAGTAGGGATGGAGAGAGATTTAGGGATGGATTGCGAGGTGAGAGGAGGGGATTAAGTCAGCCGCCTAAGAGTCCTCGGGTGCCGAAGGTGCCGAGTGCGTATTTGACGAAGAGTAGCGGGACGAGTCCTGGGGAAGGGGTGTAGGATACGTTATGATACTACGAGATGAATTGTATCAGTCTTGTGTTTTTGGGTGGAGCTAATTCAATTGATGCAAGCGAGTTCTTGATATTTAGTTTGGTCCGAGATGAAATAGAGAGAGGAATGTTGGGTTGGATGGCGTCGAAAAGATGGATTGTGTATAGTATGATAAAATATACCACAGTGTTATCTGACCTCAGCTTTTCTTTTGACTGTACTGAATACAAAAGTTGAATTCCGCAATACTCAGTCTTCCAAACTTCCAGAAATGTGTGTGGGTTTATGCAAGCAATGAAGCGTTCCATCCGGATTGCAAACAATGCAGTATCTGAATGCTGAATTTAATGATAAGTCACCTGAAAAAAAACTAGATAATTATTCTACTGATGTGAATGGTTATTCAACCGATTCAGATCGCTCATATTTAGTTATAGTAGGGTCCGGATGCTATGATGATTCATCCTGTGGATGAATTACCTGAGGACCAATTAGTAAGGCATAGATGCGATACTGGTAAAGCAATTGCCAACCCAATATTAGCTAGTCTAGATAGGAATGAGCCGATAGATATTCCAATAATTCAAGCATGATCAGACCGACATGATGGATTGAAAATGTAATTCATAGACGCAAAGTTCAAGGTTTTATTCCTAGCACAAACGGACCTTCAAGTCACTAGACTGAATCAAATAGTGAAGATAATAGTAATCAAAACTCTTCTAACAATGACCAAGAAAGTACTTGTAGAGACCATATTGGTTCATCTGCTAGAGATTATGTTGGTTTATCTTCTTCTGAACGAAAACTTGAAGAAATAATGAATTTAGAGCTCGACCTACTAGTTGTTCCCTTTTCATTGAATTATATTGCTTCCAAACCACGATGTCTTCTTTTTTTAATTTTGATGCTCAACTCAACATGTTTCCACATCACCAAAAAGCCAACTCGTGCTTTTCAAATGGGGAGGAGAGATGACTCGCCCCGCGTTCGCTGCACTGTTAAAATATAAGCGAGTTGCCCCTGGTTGCCCACTAAAGAAAAAGGAATCGAAGGTCGGGTCAACCGGGAACACCACATCCCCACCAAAAATCGACATTTTTCAAATTTTGTAAAACTACTATTTCTTATCCAAACACCTTGAAACTAATCCCATAGCAAAAAAATTACAACATCCCCCACCCAAATTTGGGGGGGTTTTGGTTTAGGATCTACACCCCACCAGGTGCAAAAGAACTTCAGAGGACCAAAAAATTTTGCTGAAGACTTGCACATCAAATGCCCACTACAGGAATCGAACCTGTGATCTTCCCATTGCCGTATACATACGAGTGGGACGCTGTACCACTACTAAAATTGGTGTTAGTTGCTTGGGATTCATGTAAAAACTTCGGTGAAGAAGACTAACAGCCAAGCGGGCGTTGCAACCGGTTTTAACGGTGCAAGGTGTCGAAAAATCGCTTATTTCAATCCATACGACCGTCAGGAAAAGCGTGGGATGAAATTCTAGTAGCAGGGGTTGATTGGGTGATCTAGCTCGGGGCTAGTTCTATTCTGGGCCCCACAGCACGTGTTCCCCATTTCAAATGCTCACCATCTTGACCTTTTGGCATTAAATACCTGAAGTGAATTGAGAAGGGCCCTTTTCCTTCCCTTTTTTAATTCTATACTCTGTTTAGGTGCTAACTGACTCCTATACAAGGACAACTGAAATGGCAGTGGCATCCTCATTATATTAGACTAACGTGATATATCGGAGCGATGTGCAACAAAAACTCGTTTGTTTATACTCACTTTCGTAGATACTGAAAAGGTGAGACGTGGGCATCCTCATAGTATCAGACTAACGTATATATCGGAGCGATGTGCAACAAAAACTCGTGACACTCGTCTTTTGATATTCACTTTCTCCTGTCCTCTAGCCTCTGCCTGCCCCTCTACAGCTGACCTTGGTCCCCCTATTGTGTCTACTTTGTATTTAAATAAAACATATGGCTTCGAAAACGAATATCACCCAACTCGTTGTTTGTTCTCCCTAAGGAGGGAATATAGCCTGAATGCACTGCCCTCCCCTTGGCCTTCTTGTAAACGCATCTACATACAAAGCTCCTCTCCCATGAAGACGTCCTTGTGCCTAAAGATCGCTCGTGTAACTCGCAGCCCTCTCGCATCGGCACCCCACTTCAATCATAAAATTTCCTCTCAATCGTCCATCTCCTCTCCCGCAATCCCTGGGTAAGTCTCGAGAAACTGGCATTCAGCGACGTAAGCAAAGATCTAGCATCTGCTTACCATTCTGTATGTCCAAATCATGAATGTAAGAGAATCGCAAACGGACACGAATAGGAAATGATTGTTCTTCCCAGGCCAGGGGTTACCGGGGTATTCTTTCTTTGAAAGCGAGGTGGCAAGGCTGGTTTTATTGCCGTTTGGCTCTCTTGAGATGGGAGATCGGGGGAACAGAGATGTGACTGGCCCACGAACTTGAAGATGGGTTCTATGTAGTGCGTAATTTGCAATGGAAGGATTACTTTGCTTCTGCATATGAGGAGGGAGATGAGCTGACGGAGATAGATAGCAAGGCTTCCTATTAACTGGAAGTAATGGGCACTGAGTAGTAGAGGAAGATGCGAGAGGACAAATGGAGAGTAGAATGTGGGGTTCTGTGTCCTTTTGGAGAGAAGAATGGTTGGCCATGTATTTTGCTACAAGTACAGGTAGAAACAACCTTCTTGACAGGTTGGCCGTTCTCAATTTGGTCCCCACAAGGCTGTCTCAGCCGAGGAGCATTCTTGGTATCCTCGGGGTTCAGGCCTTCATCGCATACTGTACACTTTCCAAAAGCTGGGTATGTACCCTCGTATGGTAGTTTCTAGCCAGTGCTTTATTTCAGGTGGCCGCGCTGAAGGCATTTCTTCACCATCCAACCAATGATATTGGCACTCATATTCATGAAGAAGTCAACGACGTCCTCAGCAGCGGCGCCACTTGCTTTCGGCTACTCTCCACCTTATTCTGCCACCAACAACGTCGCCACTCGTTTTTCCCTTCCATATCAAGCTCTCCCTCTCCCCACTTCTCCAGTCTAAGTTCTTTCTCTCCATCAGCAGCAAATTTCTTCGCGGCCTCAACTCCCTTGGAATCCAGCCCCCAAAGTAGCAATTCTCTCTTAAAATCACCTCCAGGATGGGACGTCGTCATAATAGCAACCAACGACAAGCCCCGCTCATGCCCCCATTTCTTCACAGTTTCCAACATCTTCTCCTTACTCCCCGCTTTCTCGATGAGGAACGCCATATCCTTGACTACCGCACTGACCCCCAGATTCCCAATCCTCTCCTCCCACTGCTTATAATCCTTCCTCCAAATATCCCTGAGACTCAAGCCCCCAACATCCTCCTTCGCCTCAGCAATCTCCTTGAAATATGCGTCGTTACTGTATTCCTCGCCCCCCTCACCAGCCATAATCCAGCCCTCCAAATACCTCACAGCCTTCTTATCCCACGTCGTAGTTTTCGAATCGTACATCAAATTCGCCGTATCGGCGAGCACAGGCGCAATCGCCAACCTCGCGAGCTCTGCGTTCCATTGCCTCGCTTCCTCACTTCGGTTTTTCCCTAGCTCGGTCCAGGTAGGCTTGCAATACTCTAGCACGAGGCTGGAACAGCTGCCAGCCTCTTCTACGATCCGCGGCTCAGGGCCGCAGTCCCAGGGGATTTTGTGTTCTTCTTCGTGGTGGTCGATACACCCGACCACTCTGGAGCCGTAGATGCTTCCTAACTCCCCTTGTAAAGAGTTGTGGTCTACTAACAGCCATCGCGTCAGGGGTGGAGAGATGGCTTTTGGGTAGTTAGTGAGGTCCGAGAGAGTTATTAAATCGGAGGGCTTTAGGTTTGCATGTGAGAGGACGGGCGTGAGTTCGGGGCGGAGGGCGAGGTCGCGACGGGGAAGGTTGGAGAGCGGGATGTAGAATGTTTCGTTTCTTGAGAAGGGGGAGTAGGTTCGTAAATAGGCTAGACAAACGGTACTGCAGATGGAGTCGAGATCTGAAATTTCTTAGCAGGTAGTTTAGCGGTATGAGTGAGTAACTAACCGGCAGATTCGTTGCCAATGACGAATGTGACTGGCGACTGGTGTTTTGCTGCATTGTTCAGTTTACTCTTTGCCGTGGACAGGAAGGATCGTAGTGATACGCGTGATAAAGGCATGTTTGATAAATGGCTTGAGGTTCGAGTTGGGCGAGCGCCAGCACTCAATGGTTCACGCAAAAGGGGCGTTCGAGGTGGTTGAGATTGTTCTGTCCGACGCGATCTACAAAAAAAGCGCATTGACGTCAGGGCGCGACCCCTGAACTCGCTTAATTCCCAACCCCTATTTCTCCTCTCACTACCTATCTTACCAATTCTAGGGTGAGGATCTCCTTTGATTGTTCAAACCCCGAGCAATGTTACTCGACTACGAGATTTCCCATCACGTTCTTATTTCAGACCTCAGGAAGCTTTCAAAGTACTAAAACCATTCGGACAGCAGTAGACACCCAAATATGAAGCACAAAACTGAGTCTATAGCGAGTACTAGGCGTTGTGGGGGGTCCAATCTCGTTGTCCCGCTGTCCTGGACGTCCTGCCTGCTCTCCTTGTTGCGTGATCTCCCCGAGAATTAGGTCTTATTTCTCGTTTTCTAGTTATGAGCCACGGGTTTTAGAAGTGTTTTGTAGGAGGGTCGGTATGGAGCATAGCAATTACTAATAAAACCCAAAAAGACGTATCTAAGATTCTTTACTTTATATAAGAAATATTGCTCAAGTTATTCACTAATAAGTAGGACCTGAAGTGACGGTTCGAGACACGAGAATACAACGAGTATAAAGTGGGGATGAGAACAGGGTTTTTAGTTGGTATGCCCGAACTCGAACTGTTAGAGGGTTAATTGGCACAAATTTGTGCGAGAAATACTGTTCCCAAAGCTGTCACTGGAAGTTTTGCAATTGATATGAAGACACTCTACCAATATTCCACAAGTCATCAGAGTCAAGAGAATCCAAGTTGGGACCGACTTTTGCCTTGTTGCGACCGAAATCTCTTTTCCGCGACTGCGTGTTTCCTCGATAAGTCTCAAGCCTACTTCTGGAGCTCATACTTGTCGTTTCCAAGGCTCTCAGCCTAGGAAATTATCCGAGGCTAATTAGCTTCCATTCGGGCTTCAATTGAATCCAAATTTCCTCCCATATCGGCTGCTCCAACATTTGGACTCTATAAGCAATACCATGCTTCCATTCGATCATCATGACAAAAAGCCCATGTTTATGAGGCAGTGAGGTGTCCTTCAAACAGCGACTTAAAACGATGAAGTCCAGATTATCGGGCTGGCATGCACGCCACTTTAGGCTCAGGTTTACTTGACCGATTGGGATATTTGTGTGAGGGTTACGAACGGCCATTACTTCATTTCCTTGCTCAGGATCCGGAAGAGCTTTGTCATTGATCTTGTACTGGGACCCAGAGCGATCAACGGGAAGGCGTACTGTGCTAGTCCAAACTTGGAGGATATGTTCCAACGTTCCATAGAGGGTGTTTGTTTGGAACAAGTGAATAGAAGATGTTGAGTTATTGGGATTCCAATGACTACTTGATCCTTTCTCTGATCTAGAGGGCTGGTCGCTGAGGTCTCCAAGGCCAGAGCTATTTATGGGGAGCCACTTGGATGAAGATGGATCTCTCCTATGCCAGGCCAGTTCTCTCCTGGTCTTTGCAAAACGGCCAAATCCTACACAGTAGCCTATTCCCTCGTAGTTCCAACCAGCCCATGACCAACTTGGGAAAATGGACCTTCTCCGGTCGGGTAAGTGGTAGGGGAACGTCCAACCCAAGCCCCAGTCAAATACGGACTCGGGTAAGCCCCAAACAAATCCACTAGAGAAACTGACTCCACCTGGAGGAATCCAGCGATGCTGGAGAAGAGATTCTAAGCCGCGAAATGCATGCAGGACATCTCCTTGGAAACCGAACGATCGAGAAGTGAAGTGGATCACCAGAGCCTCATAGCTGGTGAAGACTGATCCCGCGTTATAGTGATCGATATCTCTATTACGAAACACGATATTGGTATCCATGTTTTCAAGAATTGTGTCTTCGTACCAGAGTGCTCGTTGACAATGGAAGAATACCTGATCATCAGCGAAAATCATGGACTTCTTTGACAAGGCCTTTTCTTGAAGGGTCCATCCACGCGTATCCCAAACCGATCGGTTTCGCCAATTTTGGTAATGCTGTTGAATGGTGACCAAACGGAGGCCTTGAATGGTCGCACAGTATTGTTTGTTAGACCGCGGTTCTGGAGTGTGACCAGCTCCTGTCAAACC